GTTGTTAATTATTTTTAATCATATTCAGGTTACCACAAATTGTTTTTTCATTTAGTTGAACTTGAAATGTTTGTCAGTAGGTAAACAATTAGCACTGTACAGTCAGAAATATCAAGTTATTCTTAATACTGCAATGTATAAGTTGTCCTAACAGTCATCTTAAGTAAGCTTTACTCAATTTTTTTGAGGCAACGAGTTTCCTCAATTTTTTTGAGTTCTGGGAACTAATTAGATTTTACAGTGTAGCCCCACAGGCCTTAATTGTTGAAATGTGAACGATTTAAATAAGTCAAATCAGTCCTGTATAAATGCCTATGTGATACCAGAGGTCGGGGGTTTCCTTTTTCTATTTTCAGGAAACGTCTCAGTTTTACAGTCCATACAAATAAATATGGTTGTCAGGGTGTCGTTGCTAAGCAACAGCATGAAAAAATATACTCCGAGTGTAAAGATTCAGAGGGAAGCGCTGACAAATGTTTAGCACATCCGGCCCGTAGCGATAGTAACGCTGATGGAGATGACAACATTGATTGTTCACGTGGGGGTTTCTAAAACGTTAACGTCTAATTTTCTAATCAGATATCAGGCAACTCAGGGGTGTGTCCAGGATGGCACGTTGTGGGGAAATCTGAATATTTAATCACAAATAAATACAGTGTAGAAAGTAGGTGGATGATTTTCAGTGTTTAAACATTAGTTTTCATTAATCAACTAATTTTCCAAGGAGCGAAACACATACTTATATAATTGCCCCCATATAAAAGTCATGTCCCCGCTTAAGTAACACAAAGGTTTTAGGATACCATTATTATCAACATCACGTTGTTAGATGATAATTATTGATTCATTAACCTGTACATCACTTTTACTTTGCTGCTGGAGGTTATTTTACTTACTGAGCTATATATTTCTGATTGGTAGTAAAATATACAATATAATAATTAACTACAGCTTTAAAATAAACAGCAGCCTACAAGATTTGCAAGTAAAATAAAAATAGAATATAGAACTATATTCTATCACCAGCCCTATGCTTTTGTCCAGTGACATTATGATTAACAGTACTACAATTATTCAGTAATACTTATGTAGTTATGACCACGTGTGAATAAATACCTGATTAGAAGGAGAAAGGAAAAAAATAATTTTCCATCCATTCGCTTCCGCTTATCCTTTTCAGGGTCGCGGGGGGTGCTGGAGCCTATCCCAGCTGTCATAGGGCGAGAGGCGGACTACACCCTGGACAGGTCGCCAGTCTGTCGCAGGGCCAACACACAGGGACAGACAACTATTCGCACTCACATTCACTCGCACATTCACACCTAGTGGCAATTTGGATTATCCAATTAACCTATCCCCACAAGCTGCATGTCTTTGGACGGTGGGAGGAAGCCGGAGTACCCGGGGAGAACCCACGCAAACACGAGGAGAACATGCAAACTCCACACAGAAAGACCCCGGCCTGATGGTGGAATTGAACTCAGGACCTTCTTGCTGTGCGGCAACAGTGCTAACCACCGTGCCACCGTGCTGCCCAAAAAATAATTTTTTTAAATCAAATCTTTTTTTTAATTATTATTTTATTATATTTTAGTTGTTTATTTTTATTTACTGCTACTGGGATTATGGTTGATCTGAGCTGTCCTAACTCAAAATGCTGCAATGCAATTTCAAAGTAAGTGGAAACAAGTGATGTTAAATCGAGATTTTGAGATTAATAACCTGAAACTCTGACTTACAGATGGCAAAAATAAGTAAATAAATGAATCAGTCTCTCTCACACATATACACAAACACACGCACATACAAATCAGATTTGGAAACAAGCTTCCATATATAGCAAGGTATTGCTAATTTCCCAGCCATTTTCTCTTATCAGCTTCTTGGGTTCTGCCACCATCTTTGCCATTCGTGAAATCTCCCTTAAACTTCAGTCCAAGATGTATTTGAGTGATACTGAAATTAATTTAGGTCAGTGTTCAAAAAAGTTAAATATCACGATGGGTGGCAAGTCGTGCTTCTAGAAGGATTCTGGCACAATCAAAAGTGAACTTTCAGGTAGCTCTGCATTTCCAACAAGCATATCATGCTAACAGACTTCACATAGAAAGCTGCAGTCACTCACAGAAGCTTTTCATTATTTTGATTCCCTGCTTTTCATTAGTTTTGCACCAATAAATAGTATTAAACTAATTAGGAAGATTAGATACGAGGGCTCAGAGTAACAGAGCAGTAGCCTGGGTAGCATGGAGGAGGGAGATGAGGAGGAGGAGAAGGAGGATGATTTAAGTCAGACGAGAATAACGGTGCAGACATTTGACGCCTAATTTGGTTTTTTGGGCGGGGAGCAGCTCGTCTGAGCTACTAGAAGATCCAGCCAGGGGGCTGAGGACCTGCAATCGTCGGCTCTCCTACCACTTGCATGTTCTCAGGAGCTGAGAGCAGCAGCAGCAGCAGCAACGAAAAGCAGAAAGGAAACTTCCCGCTGTGGTGTTTTTGCGATCAAGGTAGGCGTTTTGAGAAGTGTACAGGAAAGTTCACAGCACACAGTGGTAGACCTTACTGAGAAGAATTGATTACTTAGTCTACACTTTTATTTTGAAAATCTACAGGCTTTCGACGAATTAGAACTTTCCACCACGAGGAGTAACTTTAAATATCCAGATGTTTTACTAAATATTATCGCTTAGTTCGATTTTTCAAAAGAAAATGTTTGTTATATGTTTTTGAGACTATATAAAAGACTGCAGTGTGGTGTGTTTCTGTGGTTGGAGCAGGGTGTGGCAAGTGGCACTCCCACTTTACTGTCAATGAATGAACTGCATGAGACTAAAACAGAGCTGTCAAACTTACATGTTTTACTTTACAAAGGGGTTACATTCTCCTTTTACCTATTCCCTGATATGCCTAAATATTTCTTCTTCTTCTTTTTAAAGTTTTTCCTTTAATTTTAATTAAGAGATGTGGCTTTTGTTGAGTGAAGAGAAGAGAAGCAAAATGTGATCCTCACTGTACCTTTTATCAGAAAGATTTTGTGCCTCGACTACTTAGGCATTTGCTGAAAAAATCCTATCAACCTTTCAAAACGCAGTACTCAGTTTTGAATACACTGACATCATGCTCTGACTTGCACATACTGAAATTGTTGGCCAACAGTGTTCATCTTGTGCCTCCATCTCTGTAAGTGGATTATAGGTGAAAATGAGTAACTAACGTTGTGTCATGGCAACAAAACAAGGACACCACATGACCTCTCTGCTGGGACACTGAAACATTCGTTTCCTGAACATCTTGACATGATAGTACATCTTAACATTTGTGTGTGCGTGTGATATGTGTAAAACGACTGTGCAGAGGAGCATGATGCTGTCACATCCTGATATAATCTATTTTCAGCATCTCTTGCAATTAAGGAAGCCCCCCCCCCCACCCCACCCCTTGTGATTTCCATGCTGTGCTGTGCGACGACACTTTTTCCACGCTTTTTTCTCTATCATGACTATTTTTCTCTCCTTTATTCTTTCCTGATTCAATTCCACAAGTAGCAAAGCAATGGCAGTAGGAGTAGCGGGACTGATTTTTCCATTACGACCCTCCATATTCATTTATTTTGAGTGGTTTACACAAAGCATAATCGGTAACCTGACTCTCAGGCTGGGTTGGGACTTTTGAACAGGGAGGGAGAAAGAGGACAACTGATGGAAAAGAGAGGGAGTAGCCAGCCACCAAATGAGACCACGAGGAGGAAAGCAAGGAAAGAAAAAGAGAAGAAAAGACAAAACTTGGCAAACATGACAAAGTTACCAGTTGTTCAGCAGCAGCCAGACTGCAGCACATCTGGAACCCATGAGTAACTTGGAAAATTTTTATAAGAAATAGGGGAGGAGGTAGAAAGAGAAACGAGGAGTGGTGAAAGCAAGGGGCCTTGTAGTGACTCAGCCTTCAGCTATTCCACTCCATCACTGTGTTTAAACTATGTGTCCTTCTGTGGCCAAGGCACAGGGCTTCCCCCGTGTTCCCCTCCTCCTAGGGTGAAGTGAGTCATCCTGAATCAGTTTGCATGGTCTTTTTTTTCCATTTCTCTCTTTTTGTCCACTTCTTTGTCTTGATACCTCACCACCAGTTTAGATTTCCACCTCCCCATCCATGACTGTGTCATAGATGTTTAATAGGACTAATGTAAACAGGCCTTTTCTCCATGTTTATAACTGTCTCTCTGTGTAAGCTGTGTAAGGAGAGGAGCACTTGTGGAGCCAAGCAGGCAATAGGTGTCATGAGGGAAGGGAGGAAAGGGAGGAAAGGCAGCCAGTGTTGCCAGAGTGAATCTGAGCTGTGAAATGTTAGCTGTGGAAAAAAAAAACAAGGAAACAAATCCAACCCCCCAAAACACCACTGTAGATCAGCTGCTATATAGAATTTTCCTAAAAGCATTACAGCAAGCACAATTACAGGATATGAACTCTTCTGTAAGTTGACTAATCTTGTCAACCTTGCAGTGCAGTGCAGCTGCCCAACCAGTTGCAGTTTGAGGTAAATTATATTATCTGGAAAATACTTGCATACAGATCGCTAAAAGCATTTTGTAAGTAATTTTTGGCTATGAAGTCTGGAGATAACACTAGTACTAATTATTTTGGGTGGAAGGCTGAGCAATAAAATTGAGCAAACGGTAAGAAGGATGAGGGATAAGTGTACCAAAAGATATAAGGCAAAAACAGCGATGCTGTGTTTTGTATCAATTTGTATCAAGTTAAGTACTTTTTGAGTGAAAACGTTGCATTCAGCTCTGTCATGGCAATTTTGTTTTCTGACATTTTAAAGTGTGCCTAGCTGATTTCCAGCTCTGTAGCTTTGTAAAATTAACAGAAAAGCTGTTTGACTTCTACCATAGAGCCACTCTCTTCCCTTGCAAACAGAAGGTTTGAACATTTAGTGGGTGGGGCTTCTGAGCCTGAGCTGTCTGGAGCTCGAGCTTTCGTCTGAAAAGGATTACCACTAAAAATGGTGACCTGATTATTTGAAGTGTTGACCACTTTAACATGTGCATCCACCATTGTGACAGTATGACACCCCAACCCCTGTGGATTTGTAATCTTCTGCGTTGAAGCGTTAAGTTTGGCATTCTGGTCATGTGGATGCTGTGGTTAAATCAAACCTTCATTTACTAAATGAACACTTGCCAATCTGAGGAAGACTCAAAGTAGAAATTAAGAGTATAAACACACTTTATACTGTCACCCAAAAAAGTAAGATTATATATAATAAAATAATAGTGCATTCATTCTCTTCATCATTAAAAATGTTTTTCATTGTCTAGTCATTGTAAAATGCTAACGTCAGCTCTTACCCCAGGTGGGTGTAACTTAACTGAAAGCAGCTCTGTAGCCAGCTGAAGAAGTAGTGACAGGCAAGTAGTGACATACTTGTTGGACTAAATCTTACATTTCCAGAAATATTTCTAGAAATATAAACTTTTTAACCACTGACAAAAATATTTTAAACTACATTAAATATTCTAGTCAAATATAAAATTTAATTAAAACACCTTAAAGATATTAGATATTAGGATCAATATAATTTTGCTTGGTGCTATGTTACACTGAACTTTCTACCCAAAAAAGGAGAGGACAAAGAGACTTCAGCTTTCCTTAGACTATATTCATAGTTTAAATTCAAAATTGCACTGTACTTGCGACACTGGGAGTGGGTGTGGAACAAATAGGCCACATTTGCAACACGATGACAGACAGGGGTCTGGGGAGTTTGTAGCATAACACCCATCTCTGAGGACATGACTATTGAGCAATGTTTGAAAGGAAGAGGCTGCACTTCGTACTTCAATTCTGTTGTGAGAACACGTCTGGAGCTTGTATGAGACATAAACTACCAGAGAAATTAAAATGGTGTGTTCACCAGCTGATTTGACCAGATGTGAATGGGCTGTGACCACAGTGAACTCATTATTTGCAGTTTCGAATTGGGTTTTTAGGATTTGAGTTGTTGTTTAAGTCATTCATGAAAATACAACGGTAGAATTGTTCCACTCAGAAACTGGTATGTAGTCGGATGAACCCTGTTTGCGCACAGGTTGCTGGTCTCGCATAGTTGTCTCTTATATTTCATCTAGAGCCATAAAAAGTTGCATGAGACTCTAAAACACCACTTACTAATCATTATCTTTTTCTTCTTACAGATTTGTCTGCTTGACAGAGGAAACGCCCACAAATAAGAGGAAACTTTTCTGCTTCTCTCATCGCCCAATTCACCTCTCATTATGGCTATAGTCCTCCACTCCAGCCCTCTGCTGTGGACACGGCTGGCAGCCCTGGCTTTCTCCTGTGTGGCATTCTCTGTGGCCGTGCATGGTGCCCAACTCGGGCACGGCACCGGAGACTGGTGCATCTTCTGCTGGGCCTTCAGCTTTGCCGGCACTCTGCTCGTGATTCTGGTGGAGCTCTTCGGCCTGCAGACCAAAGCCCCTGTTTCCTGGAAGAACTTCCCTATCACCTTTGCCTGCTACGCTGCCCTACTCTGTTTGTCCGCCTCTATCATCTTCCCACTCTACTTCCTCAAGGGTTTATCGGACTCCAGTTCGGTCCACGACTACCGTATCGTGGTAACCGTCTTCTCCTGCTTGGCTACCATTGCTTACATAAGTGAGGTGAGCATCAGCAAGGCACGTCCGGGTGAGGTGGCCGGCTACATGGCCACAGGACCTGGACTATTGAAAGTCTGTGAGACCTTCGTGGCCTGCGTCATCTTTGTCTTTGTGAGTGACCCCGTGTTGTACGACCGTCACGATGCACTGAAGTACTGCATGGCCATGTACTGCATCTGCTTCATCCTGTCAGCAGCCATCATCCTGCTCTGTATAGGCGAGTGTACCGGGTGCTTGCCTTTCCCATTCCCCCGGTTCCTGTCAGCCTACGCCATGCTGGCCGTGGTCCTCTACCTGTCAGCAACCATCATCTGGCCTATCTTCAACTTTGACCCCAAACACGGTGGGAATAAAAATAGGCCATACAACTGCAACTCACAACCGGGGTTGTGTTTGTGGGATAAGCGCATGGCAGTGGCTGTACTCACCGGTGTCAACTTCATCCTCTACCTGGCAGACCTGATCTACTCCACCCGTCTAGTATTTGTCAATGCCTAAAAAACAGGAAATCACGCTAGCAGTATGCTCCAAATAAAATTGAATTTGCCCACTTTGACAAAGGCTTTGCAATTGCTGTCTCTTTTATTGCTACAAGCAAATGGTGGCATACTCAGTCTAGCACTCTGATCACTTTAATGGTATCACTTGAGGACAAGCCGTGATAGGAGACTAGAGAACAAACTTTAGCATGATAGCACAGCTGAGACAAATCCTGTGTGACTCAATTTGTTGTTTTAAATTTGCCCTTAAAATAATATGATTTGACTTTTGCTAGAACCAGACAGAAGGAGAAAAGCATGCCCTATGGCCCAAGCTGCCCTAACTGTGCAGCGGTAAATATGGAAATGCATTTAAAAAAACCAAAAAAAAACAAAAGAGAGTGTGCTCAAACCATGAATGAAGCTTTTCATAGGTAGAGATTGACATATTCGGCTGGTCAAAACACAGATCTTGCGCTCTTTTTGGCCCGAAACGTTAAAAATTAGCCCTGAAACCTTGCCAAATTAATTTTGTGTGAAGTATACTGCATGACTGAATTTCTTAGAGAGAAAGTGTGTGTGAGAGAGAGAGAGAGAGAAGGGAGGAGTTGGAAGCAAGTTAGTGGTTGTGTCTACACATACAACAATATGACTTTCTGTTCATGTATTGGGGCATGTAAATGGCAAATATTTGCTTCCAGTCACCCAAATAGACTCTTATCTTTTATATAGAGACCTGAATGTGATTGCTGGAATCTGCTGATATTACTCAAAATTTTTAATGGTAGATCAGTTCCCATTTTTATACAGAAAATACATTTTTCATGTATGCAGGGATGCTTTGGATAGTAGTAATCTACCAACAGATTTCCCAAAAGAAGGCCACGTCTTATTTACATGCTCTGTTCATGTAAATAAGACAGAAAAATAAAAACAAAGCTAATGTTGAGTTTTTGTTTGATACTTTTGGCAGAGTGTATGTCAAAAGTGTATATATAAAAAGAAAATCAGTGAACATTTCAGATTAACTGTTACAGAAAATATTGCAGTGCCATGTGACTGACTTTTGTGGCCTTTTTTTAAAATGGCATCATTAAACTTCATTGCAGTACACAAAGCAGCTGACAGGGTTGCATCAGTCAGTCATTTCTTTAAGTTCATATCCCAACAATTCAACCACTTAAAGAAGTGACGAATTGGTTTACATGATGTTAAAGATGATTGGTAGGCTAGCTTTTGCTCTTGTTATGGAATGTGCATATCTGTGAGCTATAATCTATTGTAAGAACATATATGGATTTAAAGAAACAAGAAAAACATATAGTCAAAGTGCACGTATTAATGTTTTCATTGTGTGTTTATATTTCTGGTGTCTCCAAATATCCAAGAACCTACTAATGCTGGTCCCTCACAGCTAAGGTTATATTCATTACATCTATTTGTTTTGTACTGCTTATAGAAATCTAATAAAAAGGTTTCTCTCAGTCTAGATGTTCTTAGGATTGTAGTCTTTACATTTTTTATACTTTGCTGTTCCAAGTGTGGAAACCGCATCAGTGTTGAAGGAAAATGTATTCCAGTGTTTCAATAAAACCACATGATTAACAGATGTTTGTGTGTTACTTTCAATAAGTAGGTACCTGTCCAAATGGAAACAGCCAGGGTTTAAAGCAAGAGCCCAAAAAAATCAATAGCTTCAGTGGCAACACGGGGCTGGCTCCAAAAGTGAGTCCCACAACCAACTCTAATGTTAATACCTCCACCTTTCCAGCCAAAAAAAACAGCATGTTGGTCTAAAGAGCTTGGAAAGAAAGCAACTGAACTTCTTTGAGTTTCTTGAGTTTCTATTTAAAACTGAGGTGAAACGCCATTGTAATGGAGAATGTCACTTTAAGAGGGATGGACTTGACCTCCTGACTATGAATAATGAAGATGATAAGGTGCTGACTCTATGAATCCACAATCTCAACAGGGTTGTCCGATAAGAACAGATGGCTTATCCACAAAATCCACTGCCACTCAGGTATCTGCCGTTTACTCATTTATTTAACAAGAATCCGAGGTACACATCCATAATGTGAGTGAGGGGATTTAACAGGCTGTAAAATGCTATATGCCGTGTGGTGAAGTGATGGTGTGGTTTCTGTTGGAAAGAACATAAAAGTCTTCCATGACTATGTGAACAGAGTGAATTAAATGTGTAATACAACAATACAAACAATACTGGGTAGTGGAACGTTCAACCAAAATAAGGTTGAAAAATGCTAATTTTACTATTTACATAAATCCTAACTAGGCACTTTACACTATAGCCAACATGAGAAATTAGTGACGGTCCCTTAATGACCGCATGGCAGAGGCTGCTTGGGCAGTAACATTCAGTAAACAAAGTGTGCGCCAAGGATTTAAACAAGGGAGGATAATGGCTGCAGCAAAGAACAAACAGGATAAACACAGAAACTTACAGTCTCATGGACGCACACTGCTAACAGCACAAGGAACAAAAATCCACACGGTGAGTAAAACTCTACTGACTCTCCCCACCTGCAGCTCCGACCGAACTCTGCGTCGAAGTGTGTGCGTAATGATGAGGTAGAATTGTGTCTTCTGATTGGTGAAGAGGATGGGTTGCCTCACCGCTCACAGCTGTATGCTGATATATTTACTCGGCAGATGTGGCTCTGTTCGTCGGTTCAGCCGACGGGCTGGCCTTTTGTACAGCCGCCCCCAACTTTGCGGAGCAAAGGTGCACTTCACTCAGGAAGGTCAGGCAGTAGACTCCGGTGGAAGAGCTGTGAGTCTGATGAGTCGAGCCACTGGTCGGGTGTATGTCTTGTCTCCAACCTGTATCTGAACTTTCCGAACCCTGCCATCTGCTCCAGGGATGACTTGGATGACCTTACCAACTGGCCATATGGCACGAGGGAGCTGCTGGTCCACAATGAGAACGATAGTGCCAACAGTCAACTCATCTCTTTCCTGCTGCCATTTATGCCGCATCTGGAGTGAAGGTAGATAATTCCGGATGTAGTGGATCCAGAATTGATCCGCCAAGGCTTGACACTGCCTCCACCTACAACGACTCAGGAGTTCTGCTTCTGGGTAGACGACCTGTGGCATACTGGAATCAGGCCGCCCCATCAACAACATGTTGGGAGTGATTGGATCAGCATCTGCTATGTCTGAGGAGACATAACCTAGCGGCTTAGAGTTGATGATGCTCTCTACCTTGCTGAGTATCGTCCTAAAGACTTCCTCAGTGACATGCTGCAAGCCGAGAATGGTATGCAGCGCAGACTTGATGGAACGAGTCTCCCGTTCCCAGGAACCACCGAAATGTGGAGCCTATGGAGGGTTGAAACGAAAATGAATCTGCTGGCTGGCCAACTGTGACTTCAGAGCTGGGCCGAGGGCGTTGAAAGTCTCCTGGAGTTCAGAGCTACCACCTTTGAAGTTGGTACCTTGATCCGACAGTAGTTCGAAGGGCTTTCCACGTCTCGCGATGAAACAACGCAGTCCCATCAGGAATGAGTCAGTGTCCATGCTGGCAAGCAGATCAAAGTAGACTGCATGGGTGGTTAGGCATTTGAAGATGATCCCCCACCGTTTCTCGGTACGCCCCCCCATCTTGACAAGGTATGGACCAAAGCAGTCCACCCCAGTTGAATAGAAGGCTGGGCGATGAAGTCTTAAACTGGATGAGGAAAGGTCAACCATCTTGGGAATGACCGGCTGACTGCGCCACCTCCTGCATTCAGGACAGTTGTACTGGTGCTTCCGGATGGTCTCTTGTCCTCGAAGTATCCAGAACCTGCGCCGGAGCTCAGCAAAGACCCTCTCGGAGCCTGGGTGAACAAGCCTGCGATCACAATCCTGGATGATGTGCTTTGTAATAAGATGCTGAGGGTCAAGAACGACAGGATGCAAGATGTCTTGACTGAGGGTTTCACATCTGCGAAGCCCCACCCACACGGATCAGTTGAACCTCTGGGTCATACTAAGGAGCTAAGGCGAGTAGGCGACTGCTGGCAGCTACCGGTTTGTGAGATGACAGCCGAACAAAATCTTCAGGAAAACTGTCTTCCTGTACCTTCTGGAGGAATGCTAGTTCTGCTTGCCAGTAATTCTCTGCTGTGGGTGTCGAGTTGGCAGCTGTCCCGTGGACAGCTCGAACGTAATCTTCAGGCAAGTCCTGGAAGCCACCGAAAGAAGCAACATCAGAAGCTATCCTTCCGCAGCTCTGATGAATCATCAAGGGAAATGTGGTTCAGGAGCTCTGGGCAGTATGATGCCATCTGCCAGAGAAAAGGTGGACCCCGGCACGACCGATGATGAGCGGTGAGCTGCGAGAGCAGTAATCCCCGAGTGATGTCGTCGGCAGGATATCTCCACAGGCCCCTTCAGTTAGCTCTTGAATATCTGGAGCCTGGGATTGGGACTGGAGCCAGTTCAGGACTGTAGTGGAGTCTGTCCAATAGACAATGCTTGAGATACAAAGGGTGAGTTCCCTCTTGAGAACGACAGCAAGCTGGGCTCCCACATGAGCAGCACAGAGCTCCAACCTCAGAATGGACTGTTGACGAACGGGAGCAAATCGAGATCAGCGCGGCTAGGAAGGCTACCTGGATTCCCCCCATATGATCTTCCGTCCTAAGGTAGGCTACAGCTCCATATGCCTTCTCAGATGCATCGGAGAAGATGTGGATGCTCTGCTTGCAAAGGGATAGGTCTGTCTCTGGCTGCACATAACAACGTGGCAGGGAGACATCAGGGAGCTGAATCAATTCACTTTCCCATGCATGCCACAGCTTCAGCAGGTCGATTGGCAGATTCGGATCATCCCAGTCTCTCCTTTTCCGCCAGAGATGCTGCATCAGGATTTTGGCCCGAGTGGTGTAAGGAATGAGGAGGCCAAGCGGATCATACTGCTTGGCCAGAACCCAATAGATGTTGCGCATTGTGGGCTCCACCAACTGCTCGGTGTGCCAAATCTGATATCTGAGCTCATCAGACTGACAGTGCCATTGCAGGCCCAGAGTCCGCTTTGGTACATCAGTCCCATTGGGGGAAAACCACAGTTCACTGCTCTGTGAGTCTGATCCAGGTGGCATATGACTAATGAGTTCTGGGTAGTTAGAAGCCCACTGTCGTAATTCGAAGCCACTGGTGAGCAGCAACTGCTGGATTTTGTTGACCAGTTGCTGGGCTTCGGGAAATGATGCGAAGCTCTGGAGGAGATTGTCAACGTAGAAACATTTCTCTACTGTGTGACGGGTATCTTCGCTGGGGCTGCTGTGATCCAGAACGTGCTGCTGCAGAGCATTGGTGGCACAGCAGGGATGTCGCCCTGAAAGGCAACACCTGCCATTCGTAGACATCTGGTTGCCTCGTGCAATCCATCTCTCCAGAGGAAACGGAGGAAAGGCTTGTCCTGAGTCAAGAGGTGGACCTGGTGAAACATCCCCATGATGTCACTGCTCACCGCAATGGGATACTCCCGGAAGCGAAGTAACACACCCAGGAGCATCCAACCCAGGGTAGGACCAGCTAGGAGATGCTGATTCAGGCTGGTACCATTGTGCACAAAAGAACAGTTGAATACAATGCGATCCTTGCCAATATGATGAACCATGTGGTGTGGTATGTACCAGGTGTTGCCATCTATATCCATGTCCGCGATGGTCAGTTTACTCACATAGCCTGCATCCACCAGCTTCTGAATTTCCTGGTTATAGGTGGCTGCTCGTACAGGCTTCTTCAGGAGGCGCTTCTCCGTGGCTCGCATGTGACCCAGGACAGAGTCCTTAGTGGAATGAAGCAGGACTGGTTCCTCTTTCCACAGCAACGGGGCGGCATATTGGCATATCTTCTCCTCTAGCATCTTGACAGCCATGGTATCTTGTTTTGAACGTGTGGCCACTTTCTCATTCTGGTATGGGAGAACATCCATCTGCCAGAGCTTGGCTACATTACTGAGAAGTTCAGCACTGGGAGTCAGGGTGCTTGTGAGTAGACACTGAGGAGTGGAGGCTTGATGTAGAAGAACCTTGGCTGGACCCTGCAGAGTCCAACCCAGCCGTGTCTTGAGTGCAGCTGGTCCTCCCCATGGACCCAGATGTACAGGCTCTATTGGAGTCAGGAGATGTGGGTAGTCAGAGCCAATCAGCAATAATGGTTGAGCTTGGTGGAACGAATGAAGTGGAAGACCTCACAGGTGGTGGTAGGACCTTTGCAGTGCTGGATGTGAGTGTTTGTCGAGCCCAAGCTCAGTGGCAGTGAATGCTCTTCGGATCCGGAACTGTTTCCAAGGGCTATAGAGAAGGAAACGGAATGTCCTTCCACCGTTCTAATGTTTGTCGGATGGTTCAAAGCGCCAACTCCTCCCTCATTCCCTGAAGGCCCAGCTCTTGGGCAGCACTGTGAAGAAGGATTGTGCGCTCTGACCCATCATCGGGTCCTCTACCAGAGGCCTGGGAGCTTGAGGGTCCTGCGCAGTATCCTGCGCTCTTCTGGACAGAGATCTCCGATGTTATTCCCGGGATCTGCTGGAGCCACTCGCCTAGCTTGGGAGTCACCGCACCTAGTGCTCCAATTACCACGGGGACCACCGTTACCTTCACCCTCCACATCCTCTCTGAGCCCTTGGTATTTCTCCAGCTTCTCGTGTTCCTTCTT